TAGAAAAAAATGTAAGTAACAAACTGGAACCAAGCCATCATTTGCATCAACATGCACCACCATGGCCTGAAAGCACCACCAGTTATCCGGCTCACAGCCTCTGGTTGCCTAGCAAAAGGAGAGGTATTCAGATGTATTTTGTTCTACATTTGGAAAAGTGCCTGCCTAAGTTCTGCCCATATCCTCACCCATCAGTGAGGTGAGAAAGGAAACATGCATAGCCATCAGCCCTCCCACCACAGTGTCTGCCAATGGTTCTCAAAGACACAGAAATAGTAGTCACAATGAGAGATGGTGTATATGATTGGCCCGTGTGTCCTTTTTAGGTCAAGTGCCCTGGTAGCTAAAGTACATTCTAGACTTGGGTGCATTTTGCATAACAGTAAATTACTTTGGATTTTAGTCAAGTTATAGATTAAAAATTTGTAACAAAAGGTAAATACCCATTAGTTCATTTTATTAAATTCTGCAATATTTGAATAACTTTAGTATTAGCTTAGTAGCTCTATATTATAGAACAATTATTTGAAAAATAGAAAAAATCCTGAATTATCTGAAGCATGTATGCCTTCCTTTCAAATGTTTCCAATTTCCTGCATCAATATCTCTGGTTTTGGTGATATTCTACCTTCTAGACGTTTTTTACTATAATTCTGCTTTCTTGCCTGTCCTCTGTATTTGTCTCATGTATGATCTTATCTATTCTTCCATCCATCCCTTCAATCAACACGTATTTATCGAGAGCATTCAACAATATTCAATCAACAAACATTAACTGAGTACCTCTTCTACACAGCAGGCTCTGGGTTATAAAGATAAATAAGGTACGATTCATAGCCTTCTAGAAATTCAAAGTCTTGGATAGGAAAACAGACATGTAAATATGTCATTGAAACGAAACTTTAATACTATAAATAGGCTTCGATAAAGTACTTTAGGAGTGGGGCAGAAGAATGGGCATATCAAAGGAAGATTTATAGGAAAGACAATGTTTGCATTTAATCTTGAGGGATAAGCAAAAGTTTGTTAGGAGACAGGCTGATATTTCAGGCACAGAGGCCACTAAATGAGCAAAGAGGCAAAGAGGCATGAGGAAGCATGACCACTTTTAAGAACAGCAAGTAGTTCAATGTGAACGCAGGAATATGTGCACATATAAATATGCACAAGGAAGTCAATGGCTCTGGAGCAGACTGCACGACATGTGCTTCCACTTAGAAGCTAATCATGGTGGGCTTTAACTTGTGAGCAGCCAGGAGTCAAAAGAACTTTTGTGCAGCTGAGCAACCAGCACAGATTTGTGTGAGGGGAAAAGTCAGCTTTAGTAATAGTGAGGAGAGAGGGCTAAATTAGAAATCAAATAGGAAGAGATTGGTAGGGTCTGCTAAGAGGGAAGCTATAGTATCAAGGTAGGTGTGAGACAATGAGCAAATATTAGGATGAAATAGAAGAGATGGATTCAAAAGACATTTGAGATAGAATCTACAAAACTTGGCAAGTAATTATGTATTTATGTTTGCCTGTGTATGGTACACAGAAATGAGTAGTGGGAATTGAGAATGTGTCCAATTTGGGGGCAGCGGGGTTTGTATGATTTTCAGAGACAACTGAGCAGATGTTGATGAGATTCACTAGGAAAGAACCCAGGAAGGAAGGCAGGTGGACAGGTGAGGGTGAAGGAAAAGGATGAGGCAGTTAGGTTTCTTTTTAGACATTTTTGGCTTGATGTAACTGTGGAGTAATATCATGTGGATATGATCCAATGGGCAGTAGGAAATGGGAAAAATGAAGCGTAAAGGCAGTGTTGTTGGGTGGAGATAAAGAATACAAGAGCCACAAAGGTACAATGGTACTTGAAGTCAAAGGAGTAGGTAAGGCCCTGTAGGCAGAGAGAAGGACAAAAGTGAAAAGCTAGGGAACAAATTTTTAAGAGATGCATAGGAAAATTCAGACATGGGGGATGAAAGAACCAAGCAATGGGGTCTTAAAACCCATGGAAGGGAAGGTTTGAAGAAAGTGAATCTGTTTAGAAGTATCAAATGTCTGATCTCATTACAACCTGTGAGTTTTATATTCTTTCACCGATTTTACCAATGAGGAAAACAATGCTTAGTATTTCTCCCTCCAAAATCTGGAGGCAACAGGTTCACTGGATGACCTAAAAGTCCTTGTTTCTCAATGTACCAAAATTAAATGTAGGTAATCTCCTCCCTTAGGATTACTGGTTTCTATCACCAACAATTCATTTCTCTGCTTCCCAATTCTGCCACAAGATCTGCACTTTCATCAACTTAATCTGCTTCCCATTCCCTACAACTAGGCTGCCAATTCCTGCCACCCTGTGTTGTTCTGTTCCTCTTCCTCTAAATGACGTCTACCTTCCACCCTTTCTCAAGATTCATGTCCCTGACCGCCTTCAAGAAACAACATGTAGCTCATCTTTCCCAGTGATTAACTCTCACAATTAGGAATGTTCCATTATTCTGTGCTCCCTTGGCATTATTCATACACATAAACAAAGACTTTTGTGTCCTTGCTTACTAGAAATGTGTCAAATGTGTCTATTCTTTCTTCTCAATCAACCCATAAGCTCTTCAAGGGAAGATGTGACTTTCCATTCTCAATTTTTAACACTACAATTTAGGGGCAGGGATATAGATATGTAATGTTAGTAAGTGTGGATGTAACTTGGCTGCCATAGGTTCAAAGACAAAGAATAGAGTAAAATACACACTAAGTGTAAATAAGGTAACTGGCTATTCAAGCATTCAACATGAGATGACTTATAGGGAACAAGTGGCCAACAGTGATGGCACTTATCATAGAACACTGCAGATTTTACAGGAAATAGCTCTTCAGCCAGTTTTTAATTTTGTTTTCTCGAATAAATACACTTTAAATAACTAAATAAATTGTATTTATATAAGAATGATCTACATTTATATTTACATTGCTATTAAATACTTAAATCAACAGTATTTCAAATAAAATAGAATTGTTATTTTAGACTTCCCTTAAGTGTGTATTCTAGAAACTGTGTTCCAGTATTACAGTTGGGTAATGTATTCCTCTGCAGCCTAGTTAATGGCTGAGACACGGTTCCAGTGCCAACAGTATCTAAGGGCAACACAATATAAACCCTGGCTGGTTTCTGAATCTACATTTCAAGGATAGAATGAAACCAGTGAAACTAAAATGAAACTCATATAAACATCCCAGACCAGACATCATACAATAAGCAGTTATTTTTTTTGGAAGTCAGACATGAAAACGAATCACAGAACTGTTCTTTCATGATTTCCATATTACTTAAAATACATACAAATATTATCAGATTTCTTTTTGTAGGATTGAACTTCCAAGTTCTTATTTTAAATAAAATGCAACTGAATATCTATCCACATGGAATAAGCATCCAGTGGCCTAGTTGGAAAGACTCCATAATTGGCTTTTCTGTTAGAAGTCTCACAGATGAAGAAGTCACAGAATTTTTCACTTTGGGCAAACACTTTAAAATATACAAGCAGCAGAAATATGAGACATTATAGATGTCACATCCTGCAGGGAATTTGGAGAAGAGCTAACAACTTCCCTGAATATCATATTTAAACAGTATGAAGAGACATAAAATTAGGAATATATGTCTTAGCAACATTTACTGAGACCTTGCAGTATGCCTGATAATGAGCTAGACTTTACCCAGGTTATCTCATTTAATCTTCACAACAATCCCTTGAGGTGAGTACACATACTAGACACAATGGCACTAAAGCAGAGAGAAATTAGTAAGTGCCTAAAGTCATACAGCTAGTAGGTGTCAGTGCCATAAATTAAACTTAGCGGCCTCATTTCTGGCTCCCAATTCTTAATGTCCGATTAGTTCTTTTGAGTGCTACCTTACTCTCTTTAGGATAAAATTTTTTTTCCAGTTAAAAAATTAATGGTGCATTTTGTAATGAGTAATGAGAACTTAGAACTTCCATGTTTCATGGAAGCTACCTAAATGGAGAATACCCATCAAAACTAATGTAAATGCAGGAAAGAAGAAAAACTAGAATGTTATTAAAATTAACTACAACCTAGCTACAGTGTACCCCAAGGAGAAATGTCATTTCTCATTTTCATTAAATAAACTTTGCCATCGCCAACAATTATATATTATCAGGCTTTACTAGTGCATTCCAAATTCATGGAAGTAATATAATAGATTTTTCTTAAGTTTTCTGAATATTTAGGGTATGAAATAATAGTATATTGAATTATATGTTGATAGTTTTAAAGAAGTAATTTTGTTTCTCAAACTTGCTAATTTACTTTAAGAGGAAGTATAAGGTCATTAAGAATAAGTTGCATATTTTTTTAAATCATTTTCCCAGGCTTATTTTCATACTTCTAAGTTCACAAATAATGAATCCAGAAAGAAAAGCCATTGCCAAAGTTGTCTCTAACATGCAGCAACCATAGAAATGTATCCTTTACAATGCCATTTACATATTTGTAAGAAACAAGGGCCCATCATAAACTATATATTATATATATATATATATAGATAGATATATATATATATATATCAGCCCTCCAGAAAGCTCTTGAAATTAATAATCTCTGAATTTTCCAGATCCACTATTCATGAGAAGGTTCAGTTAGGAATTAGGAAGCAATTTGTCTATTAAGCCACTTAAAAGCAAATATACCAACTCTTCAGCATTCTCAGTATTAGTAACCTTCTGGTAGAAGTTGAATTTAGAGCACTTAGTAGGAACATTGCATCTAAAGGTATTTAATTCTACTCTGAAATTCCAAGAGCTCTTAGAAACAGGAGGAATCCTGATAAAAGAAGATGCAGAAGAAGACACCCTTAAAGAAAATCTTTTTTTTTTTAAATTCCATACTGGACAAATGGTTAAAGATTAAAAAATAGCATGAGAAAATTTAACCACGGTGACCGAAAACATAAATAGACATTTCTTTTGTACATACCACTTGAAAAATTTCCTTACCATATACTCCATATTAGAAGCTGTTGGATACACCTGACTTCGTAATTTATTATGAAGGTCCAAGATACTCTGCATGTCATTGTCTGTGATGGCCCTTTTCCCTCTTTGCTTGGCCGACCACCACTCACCATCCTCATCCATGTACTTTTCCAAAAGTTTCTCCAATAAAGTGGCATTAGGAACCACCATGGCTGGAATCGCTCTAGCCATGAATAGCACTGTGGTCACTCTGAGCCACTCCCTCGCGGTACACTTCATAATGAATGACCTCAGGATTTCCCCGGGAAAATCTCCAAGACAGGCTCTTCCACTCCTTTCGGCTATAACGACATGTCATGCAATTAAGATGAAAATACAGGCAGATATTAATTTTTTAATAACAAAAGCAAAAGTTACAACGACAGTGTGCTACTTTGACTTGTCTACATAACACCAACAAATGGACACCCACATTTTTTCTTCCAGGGGACTTTTCACAGAGTATGTTTCCACAAAACAGACAACTATATTTCCCAAGGCAATATCCGTAAAGCCAAAAACAGATGGCAAAAGCAGCCCAGAAGAGTCAAAGCTTGGAAATACTATTTGAATTACAAGATTTCAATGGCCCTGTATTACATATAAGTCCGCAAAGGATGTTATCTACCTAGAATGTTTTATTTTCTGCCTAGAAGTCCATGTTTCTTTCTAAAGTGAGTTTTAGAGTATTATCTTCCATTTAAGGTATATTTTATTCCAGCGTCCCGTCGCTGGCTCACAACATTCATAATGTCCACAGTGTTCCCCAGTTGGGGGCGAATGTCTTAATAAACGGCTGTCCACCACGTACCGCATGGGTACCTTCCAGGGGGCGGCCTGCGAAACTCTCCGAGAATGAATGGGCTCCGGTCACGAGAAATCTCTTATCCGGACGCAGGTCAGAAACGCCAGTCATATTTCCTGGAAAGTCTGTGCCTGACCGTGGCCTGCCAGCCCGAGGATGCAGCAGGCTCCGGGGACCTCGGTGTTTTCCTCCCATCCGCCGCAGGCGCGCACGCTCTTCATTTAACCCAAGCGCGCGACAGGGAGGGAGTGAACCACAAAGTCACTTACAAGACACGAGCTTCCGCTGGCCGCGTAGCCCCCCCCAGCCCACCCCCCTGGGCCTGACATTCTTTAAGTGTGCCTTTTTTTTTTTAAGGCAGAGTTTTTAAAGAAAAAAAAAAAAACGGAGATGGGAAAGTTGGCAGCCCGACCGCCGGCGATGCATTTAGAGCCGCCCTTACCTCTCCAGTGTGAAGTCCCGGGGAAGCCCGGAGCCGAGCGGAACGCGCCTCGCAGCCGCCCCGGTCCGGCCACTGCCCGCCACAGAGCGCCCCGCTCGGGACGCCGTCACCGCGCGGGGCCGCGGCCGACAGCCTCTGCCTCCGCGCGTCTCCCCGCGCCCTGACTGAGGCGGCCAGGCGGAAGCGCTCTCAAATCACAGCGTGCCGAGCCTGCGCCGGAGAGGGCTAGCTGCCTCGTTAGCCTGCAGGGTGGCGCGCCGGAACGTCTCCGGCATTCTCGCGGGGCCAGGGGCGGACTTGCCGCGGCCCTGCGCGGCCGACGCGGGTGGCGACCTAGGCTCCTGCTCTGTTGGCGTCCGAGCCCAGCGGCCCCGGCTCCGCCGCTCCCGGCGCCCGCGGGCATTTATTACAGCTCTGCGCGCGCAGTGACACGAGCGGGCCCCCTCGCCCACCCCACCCCGCCTCCGTCCACCCCACACGCCACTCCCTCCCGCCCCTGGCGCGAGGCCCGCCCGAGCCGCGAGGAGCAGCCCGCCCTTCCCATCGCGCAGCGACCGGCGGCCTGGCCTTTGTGGGCGTGCTTTGGCTCCCGAGACCGCGGCGGAGGGTGTGGCAAGGAGGGTCCCCACTCCTCCGCCTCTGCGCGTCCCTCTTTCAGAGTCTCTCCGGCTCTTTCTGATGGAGGCATAAATACATCTGAACTGTCCTACGGGGAATTAACGGAGCCTGCCCCTGAGAGGCACGGCCTGGTGAGGATGGTGCGTTAACCTTCGTCTTGAGACCAGGAGAGTTGGGGGATTGACGGCGCAAACCCTTTCCTTTATTTTCACGGCCGGCGTCTGTTTCCAGACTACGCCAGATGAGAAGTTGTTCTTTTTTGCTTCCTAAACCTTGATAGACACAGATGAGAATGGGGCTCCCAGATTTGGGGGCGATCTCAGGATGTTTTGGACAGTGGAGAGCCTCACTTCACCCATAAAATATAAGCATTGTCCTCTCAGGCGTGGACCACAGCATTTTTTCCCCGTATGATGTATTCATATATAGAGTTGATTAAAGGTACCTTAGTTAGTCACGTGCTATCTTCTGGAATTGCAGTTAGAAAGAAGATAGTCAGTTTCTCCTTTTCAAATTATAATCTGAAGTAGGACAATTACTAATTTTTTTTAAGGCTCGCCCTACTGAGTATAGGGCTACTGTTTTATTGGAAAGCTATTTATTTAATCTTTTACCTTTGTTCCCTTCTGTAGTGGTCTAATCTAATTTTAATTTTCTAAAATCTAGAATATCCTGCATGATGATCAAAGTAAAACATTCTGATAGTAACTCAAATCATCCCAAACTGCTACCTGTCTCTTTCTGCCATCCAACTACACCGTATTTATCAAACCTAAAAACTCGGATTAAGCCTCGGATGAATGTGAGACCTTTGTTCCTCTCACAAAGAAGAAAAAGGAAACATCACCTATCAGAGGGTGCAGAGGTTAAAATTCTTGGTGCACATAAGCCTTTAGAGAGGTGTAGTTTTACAATGTTATAGTAGTTTAAGCACAAGAGATCCTTAAGTTTGTATTTTTCAAGTAGTTATTCATAATTCTTATGCACAGAGTTCAGAAAACTTGAGTTTCCCTCCTAGAAACTAATAGAAGACCTCCAAAGTTCATGTTAAAAGAACTGCTTGTGTTATAGCAGATGAAGAACATGCTTCTGTGCTGCAGTTTTAATGTGGTATTGAAAAGGATAGCGAGTATGGAATTAAAAAACATTAAAAGTAATACAATTACTTGAAACATTTGCAAACAGAATTTAAATTAGGAAGAAGAAAATTAAAATGATAAGGAAATGAACTTAAATGCATTGGTAATTCTTGAATGTTTCAGTCATAAACCTTTCCACACAATGTATGAATCTATCACCTAATGGCTTAAAGAAAATAAATTTGATTTTAAAGGTTTTAATTCCAAATTTTTCTCTAGGCAAGGAATAAAAAATCTTTTGACTCAGTATTTCTATTGGCTTCCAATTTAGGTAGTGCAGGTCATATTTTATTATAAAAGAATCATTTAAACATCCACTTTGTTAAACATTAGCATTTCAATGATATATCTTACCATGCTTCAAAGAGAAAATCAAACACAATATTCTTGAATACTCAAAGGTGATACTGTTCACATTTTTATTTGTTGTTGAGAAATTTGTGTGTAGACATAAGAAAATGTCTTCTCCACGCAGAATTCATGTAGAAATGGCACTTTGGTTTGTGGTTAAGGCTATTACTTGTAAAGGCATGGTTGTTTTTAGCATTACTACTTTCTTGTGGCAGACACTGCTGGCCGCCAAACCAACAACCAGCCTTCCACCCCTTTCTTCTTTCCAAGCCCATAGCCTCCAATTTACTGGGGGTGTCCACCCTCTTACATGCTGTCAAACTGGTATCCTAAAGAGGTAGATGTTGATTAGTCAAAGCCATTTATCACACTCTATCTCTGCTACAGGTGACTGATTTGAAATGGGCTGATATCATGCAACCCTTGCTGCTGAAAGGAAGGAAGTGGGGTGAGAAGATTTTGGCAAGGATTTCCTACTTAGGAGTGAGAAAGGTTGGCAGGGATTTTCTTCTGTGATAAAAAGAGCTGCAAAAGAGAAAATGTCTCTTTAGGTGTTAATGTGCAAATCTGTAAAATTTAAAGATGCATTTTTTTATTGTACGAAGAAGAGGGACAAGCCAGAGGGCAGAGACCTATCAATCTGGCCAAGCAAAAGGATAAACAGTGCCTGAGACTCCATGCCATTGACCAATCACTGGAACACTTACCTATTTCCCTTGCTATAAGAGATGATAAACGTAGTGTTTAAGTCACAATGACTTCGATATTCAGTTACTTGCAGCCAAAAAATGTTTCTGACAGGTACATTTATATAAAATATTTACCTTTTTCTGTCAATGTCATATTTTTCCATGCTGCTATTATTTTCTATCTGCATGCATATGTAGGAGTTATCTTTAAATCTATTCTTCTGTGTTTTTCTATCCATATCCATATACAAAAGTGAGTATATGTTCATCTCTAGAAATTTCATTTGCTGTATAGTTTCATGACCCCACAGCTGTTCTATCACCACATCATTGGTAAGTCCATGCTCCCCTGGGGAATTGTATAATAAGATTAGAACTCCTGTTGTGTTGGGAGGTGGAATCAATATAGTGTAATGTTTTAAAATATGGAATTTAAGCTGCCTAAGTTAGAGTCATGAAGTGTCACTAGTTGTTAGACCTTAATTATATACTTGGTCTCTGTGAGCACTGGATCCTTCCTCTTTAGAGGGAAATAATAGTAGCCATCTCACATAGTCACTTTGTGTATTGAGTTAATACACGAAAGCACTAAAAAGATTAATAGGTAAGTAGAAAGTACTCAATAAGGGTAAATATTACTATAATAAATGAATTAAATGCTGTATATTTGCTAGTTTATAAACTTAAGGGGCTTTAATCAAAATATTGTACAGTTTTAAAAATTAACTGTTTTCTTCCCTTCATCCATTTAAAGAATACAGTTCAAATTTTAAATATATATGCATTAAATTGTGCAACTATCCCCACAATATAATTTTAGGACATTTCCATCTCCCCTAAAGGAAACTCTTATACCCATTAGCAGTAATTGCCATTCCCTCATCCCTTCCAGCCTGCCAGTCTTGGGTACTGCTTGGGTAGTACTAATATGCTTTCTGTCTCTATGGCTTTGCCTGTTCTGGACATTTCATATAATGGAATTATACACTATTTGTCCTTTTATAACTGGCTTCTTTCACTCAGCATAATGTTTTCAAGTTTCATCCATGTTGTAGCATGTAACTGTACTTCATTTATTTTTATTGACAAGTAGTATGAATATGCCACATTTTATTTGTCCATTGATTAGTTGATGGACATCTATTATAGATTGTTTCCAATTTTGGGCTATTATGAATGATGCTGCTATGAAAATTTCACATACAAGTCTTCGCGTGTATATATGTTTTCATTTTTCTTGAGTAAGTGCCCAGTAGTG